TTAGAAAATTCTTTGGTGGCTTTAATATTTCAACTTGAATAAGGTTTTGAAGGGTGTGGAATTATTGAAATACCCTTCATCTTTTGGGCTATTTAAAGGGATGCCACTCTACTTTGGAGAGTTTAATTGTGGTCGGGATGGTGTGACCCCACTGATTCTGACATGTTTGCCGAATACTAGGAAAATCTCAGATTTGAAACAGAGAGAAGAAGTGACTTTAGATTCAAGTAACTAATATTACTCTTCTGACACTGATCCTTGCTTTTGTACTGTCTTATATTTCAACTACAATTTTCATATCTTTTGCTTCTTTCTCACTATCCACAACTAAAGGATAAGCTTGTTTCCAGAAGCAAAGATGTGAAAATTAGCTTGTTTTTCTTTTCTGGTCATGATTTGCTAATGTTCAATTTCTCAACAGAAGAATTTTTCTAGTTTTCGTTCGAATACTACCATGCAAAAACCTAAAGCTAAATTTCTCAATTAAATAACCGTTTGAAAATTGACTGACATCTTAGAGTCTAAGTGTCTAACAAATAACAAGTTTTAAGAACATTACAATAATTAAGATATAGTGAGTTTTATTATCTATCAAAGTTTTGTTGGGGAAAATTGTTTCAACCAATTCTACTTCGGAATTAGCTATAGCCAATGAGACATTAGCTATATGGAATAACAAACCTTACTACTTTACTATGATCATTCAAACGGGTATAATAAAGGTGGATGTGGAATCTTAGACCACAAGAGATTTATACTATATGGAATGCTTTTAGGCCCATAAACAAATCCCTAGGATCTCCAAATGACCATATATCAACACTACCAGAAAAAGAAAAAAAATCTACAACCCCGCTTCCTCTTTTTCAAATTATATTTTGATTTTTTATATCTAATTTTTCTCATTATGTCTACCACAATTATGGTTAGATGCAAGTAATACGGCAAGAGAGTCGCGTTATAACATGAGTCATATTATGATAGAATAGTTATCCCGTAATAGAATGTGTAACAAGGTTGATAATGATCTGGATTATATATTTATATGCACCTCATAAACTGTCCCAAACTTTTCATATGTATTGGTGTTGCTTGTTTCTTCTCTTGACGAGTAGAACTTGACTAGATAATTAGGACTCGAACTACGTTTTATAGAAAAAGCAATTACA